CAAGATGGCTGTTTGCTTTCTTCTAGGCCAGAAGGAGAATATTTCTGCAATTCTCCATCCTTTTTTAAAGACCTTGCTTCATTATATTAGGCCCACTCAGTATTATCTTCTTTTGGTTAACTCAAAAGGGACCACAATTACTTCTGCAAAATCTTTTTTTGCCAAATAAGATAACATAATCAAGGGAGTGATATCATAATCACAAGTCCTCTTACACTCAAGGGGAAGGGATAATACAAGGGTGTGGGTCATTGAGAGTTGTCCCAGAATTCTGCCTGCAAGCTATTTAGATGTTAATAGAAAATTCAAGATTTTATGATAGTAAATGTTCAAGCTAAAAATTACTAATCTTATCTATGGAATGAATGTGGGTACTCAGGGAGCTGATAGAGACATTTAGGAAGGCAAAGACATTTATTCTCCACATTAAATGCCAAATATTCAGACTCCTTTGCTACTCAGAAGATTAAAGGTTGCAGTGAAACCACCTATAGTTTTGGATGTAGAGCTGCCCAGAGGCACCAAGAGGATTTCTGAGTCAGAAGGTTGAGGGGAAAAGAACAACACAGAGTTCAATTAAAATTTGGATTGTTTCATTTTCCTGTTTAAAGCTTATTAAAAAAAAAAAAAAATTCTCATCATTGCCTACAGAATAAAGTCCAAGATCTTAATTTGAAATAAAATATTTTCCATGACCTGTCCTCTGCCTCCCTAATTACCTTTTTACCCATGTCTCTCACTTAAAGTTTCATAATTCAAACTATCACGATTTTACATAAAAACATGATGATCCTTTCTTCAGAAGAGCATGCCACCTACTTTTACCCACAACTCATATGATAAGTCCCTATTCTTTGTTTAAGATCCATTTACTCATTTAACAGATATTTACTGAGTGTCTATATTCATCAATGCATTGTTAAGCCTTCACCTCTCCCACAGTGTAGGGCTGTTCTCTGCTTCCGCTGTATCAAAACAGTAGCCAGTTCGTATATCTATTATTGTGTTTATTAGATCCTGTGTTTACATGTCTTTCCCCCAAGTGACCTATTCCTTTAGGATTATTCTGTTGTATTTTTTTATATATATAATTCTAATTCAGAGCTTGGTGCAATTACTCAATGATGGTTTTTAAATGTGATAATAAAAACAACAACGACAATAATAACATCTAAAATATATTTAGTGAATCCTTTTACGTAAAAACACTTTATACCTATTGGCTCATAAAATATCCTTGCAATAGCACTTGGAGGTAAGAATTATAATCGTCATTTTGCAGAAGAGAAACTACAGCTCAAAGACAAGATTTCTCTATAAGTTACTGATACCTCTCAACTTTACATTTTCTAGACCAGTGTGGTCCCCAAACAGCAGAATCACTATCACCCAGGAACTTACTAAAAATGCAAATTTTCAGGCTCCACCTCATACCTTCTCAATCGGAAAATCTGTACAGGCCCTATAATCTGAGGTTAAATGAGCCCCACTGGTGATGAGGTTGCAAGATAAAGTTTGAGAACCACTGCTCTATAATGTAATGTGGAAATACCCTGGCCAAGCAAATGTGTTGAACAACTAGTATTTTCAAGCAACTTTCGCCCAGGAACTTGGAAATTATATTCCAGGACTTCAAACCGGTTCATTCCGGTTTGACCCCCTGCTGAAAATTTGCATTTCCACTCCACCTGGGGATCTTGTCAAAATCTAGATTCTGATTCAGTATATCCGGAGTGAAAACGCAAATTCACAGCAGGGGGTCAAACCAGAATGAACCTGTTTGAAGCCCTATATTCATATGTTAGCAGTCATGGAGAGAAGACAAAGATTTGTACAGAAATACAACTCATCCTGAAAACGCAAGTCACTTGCAGGTCTACACACCCCACATATAGAGTCTGGAAATTAACACTGTGTTCATAAACTGAGCTGGTAAAAGCTTAGCTAAAATAATATAGAAAATAAACTTTGTCTTTGCCTGTAATAACTGCTTTGGAAATTACATAATGTCCTATGTTGTTCTTTATGGAACAATATTCTCCATAAGTGTCTCATCTCTCTAAAGACATCTTAAATATCTCCAGGTCCCAGATCTTGTTTTTCTTTATTTGGATCATCACTCATGCACCACAGAATACTGTGAAATTAGGAGGTACTCAATGATTTCTTATTGAGTTGAACTGGAGTGGATATGCCTATTGTTTATCTTTGCTTTACACCAGCAATTGTCTTTTTAAAAAGTGTCAAGTGATACTGTAGTAAAAACAGTTCAAATTGTAATACAAAGTCAAATTTTGATCTCTGAAAAGACAAGCTAGCACAAGGTAAGGATGGAACCTCCTTTCAGTGAGGAGTGTTTGCTGCAAGCTTTTGAAATTTCACTGAGCACATGCAGAGGATAGCAACAGTAATGAATGTGCACTCTGCATAGAATACTGCACTCATCATATTTTCATATGTACTTATAAAAATAAAGTTTATACTACTCAGGCAGTTCACCATCTGTTTGGGAAGACAGGATATGTAAACAGAAAAAGCTATAGATGAATCCAAGTGTAGGGATGATAAATGTGCTGTAAGTGGTTATGCATGGGAAAAAAAAGAGGCTTCACTCCCTCTGAATACAGCACAGAGTCATGTAATGATTCTGTACATGTTTTTGTCTTGATATTTTGTTCTCAACTGAAGTGATTTAAAGTATGGTGGTTTACAAGATCAAACTTTTTGTGCTTTCACAATAAACAAAGGTCGACCCACATCTGTTTGGTATTGACAGCAGAAGAAGAACTTATCAAAAATTAAACTATTTTATAAAAATTTCAGAACATCAACGAGTTTCTCAAGAAACTACAAAGAAACTGAGTAGAACTACATACCTACCTGTGGGGTTAAGTGTTAGTTTACCTCAAGCAGTTTGACCATTCTCCCTGGAATCTATGAAATAACCTTTAAAATAGTTGGGCTACATTGACCACATCCTGAGGATTAGTTTTAATGAGTATGAACTGATCTGAGAGCCCACTTGGTAACCAAAAATGAATTCATGGGCTAGCCAATAAAAGCTCAAAACACTAAGGCCTGAAGAAGCTTCCTGAGGGAGGGAATACTGGAAGGAAAGCTTCCTGGGAATGGACGCGCCCTTTGCTCTAGGGACCTTTCCAAACCTCACCCAAGTACCTCTTCCTGTTGCTCCTGAGTTACATCCTGTTTTTCTTGCCTGCTTGTAACTTGTTACTTCTGCATTGTATCTTTATCCTAATAAACCACATAACTGTAAGTATAGTCTGTGAGTTATATGTTACACTGCAGCAATTACTGCACTCAGCAGAGAATGAGAGACAGTGCATGGGGAAGGGAGAGGCTGCTCTAGGGGACAATGGGAAAGTTGGAAAGCAGACACATACCTGACCCTTGCTTCCTAGGAACTAGCTTTGTGATGGTTCTCATTCACAGATTATTCATATGCTATTTATATCAGCATTAAAGAAGGGGAGCATGAAGGTAATGAGACAGTTCATTGAAGAAGAGTATTTAAGGTAAGAAGAGCACTGGAGCAAAAACCAAGAACTTCACACAAAAGGACATACTTGATGTGTAAGAATTTGCCACCTGGAGAATTGTTTCAGGCCATAGAAAGGGAATTTTAAACGTATTCAGCAGGCTAAATCTTTCCATCAGAAGTGCTTAATTAAGCATTAAAAGTAGCCTGATTAGATCCTTGCTGTTGTAAAACAAGTCTGGAAGCAGTGTTGTTTCCATTTAGGAAAGTGCTAAATTCAGACATGCCTAAACAAACATATCCTTGAGGAGGAATTATAATGATTGTTAACTGAGCCCTGGCAGATGCAAGAATCAGGTTACAAAGTTAACTTGACAGTTTAACTTTCCAAAATGTCTAACTTGTGTCTCAGGATTTGTAGTTATTCAAATTTTGTTCAATAAGATATTTATAATTCTAAGACAAAGGCATTATAATTATAGATAAGACCCTATTTGATATGTGTGTATGTATGTGTGTGTGGACAGATAGACAGACAGACAGATAGATAGATAGAATAATTATATGAATTGTAAACCTATAATTTCTCAGTTAAATAGGCAATCTCGCTTCCCGGGTCTATACCCCTATCACTAAGGATTACTGTTTATCTGATGTAAGGCAATAGAATTATAAGTTACAATAATCAGAATGGTTTGCATTAACCTATCTCATAGAAGGTAATGTTAAGAACAGTACATAAAACTATGTAGATAGGAAACATGCTTTAACCACCATCATAATCAAACATTATACTTGGATTTGAATGTACTTGTGACATCAGGCGCAGGGTCTGTGCATGCAGGGAAATCGAAACCCTGCTAGTCTTACTAACCATCCTCTATAAACCTCTTGCCCCTCTAAAAAAATATGTGAATGTGTGTGTATGTGTGCGTGTTTAAATTTAAGTGTATTAGCTAAGAACAGAACTATGCTGAATATTTAGATTGTTGTATGTATTTACTGAAATAAGTAATTTCTTTTCTACTATCTGTGAAACCTACAAGCAATCAGATTTATGGTTGGCCAGTTCTATTTTAAGAACTTTGTAATTCCAGAAACCAACAAGTTGAGTCATAAGAATTGATGCAGTTTCTCTGCCTAAAAGCTAAATAATATATATGACTTTTGAAACAGTAATATTTAACATGTATTTAGTGCTTACACAGAGTCAAGCATGACTCTGTTTCTCATACATTAACTCATTTATTTCTCTAGTTATCCTATGAGGTATCTATTATTGTTAAATCCATTTTATAGAAGAGGAAAATGAGGCACACAGAGGTATATTAATATACCTTGCAAAATTACCTAAATTAGGAAATGGGTGAATCTCATTCAATTACACTTAATCAGGAAGTGATACTGTGGCTTGAAAAAAATATATAAAATGTCTTTTACTAACATTTTATGCTCGTTTCAGAACATTAATTTTGATCTGGGACAATTTTCCATTGTTTACCTTTAATCTCTTTGTCATTTTTAAACCATCTTATATCAGCTGCAGGTTTACTACCAGATGTTTTACAAGTCAGTTGCATCAAGTCTCCCTCCATAACTGGTGATGAAAATCCACTAATTTGAGGCTTCTCAGGAACCCCTGAAAATTAAACAAATGAATACAGTTAACAACAGTCTTCAGGATGGATTTTGTCTTGCGACTACTGCTTTCACACACAAAGCTGCTAACATGGGTGGTTAACTGCGAACATATTCAATCAAGAATAATAAATTGCTATAAAATAAACTATATATATAAGAGAGACAGAGTGAAGAGTGTGTCACCCTAGTGGTGCAATGGTTAAAGCACTTGGCTGCTAACTGAAAGGTCAGATGTTGGAACCCACCAGTGGCTCCACAGAAGAAAAGACCTGGAGATCTGCTCCTGAAAAGATTATAGCCTAGGAAACCTTCTATAGTAGGGTGGTAGTTCTACCCTGTCCTATAGGGTCACTGTGAGTCAGAATCAACTTGACAGCATACAACAAAAACATATACACACATACATATATAGAAAGCACTTGAAATGAATTTTGTTCAAAATAGTATTTTAATGAAATTACAAAATTTTACCTAGAATATTACTATTTGTAAAACTTAAAAACAACCATTCAATCAATATTTCTTAAGATTTACCAGTATAAAGTTTTAAGAAAGTGGACTGTGTATATTGCGGAGGAGAAAAAAACCCACACATCTTTATTATTCAGGAAATTCTGATTTAACTAAAACAGCACTTTACATTTATGATTTCATAATTCTGAAAGTATAAAAATGAGAACGTTTTCTGTGTACTTTGTTGAAAAAATGCATTTTGGATTAAGAGACATATTAATAGTTGCAACTATACTGACTTTCCTGATGCTTCTAAAGGAGAAAATTTCTCTTGATGTTGTTTATATGAGAAATGCAATTGTGGTTTTATGAAGTATGATATGTATTATTTTTAATGCTAACCACATATTACCTTTTATAATCCAAATCATCCAATGAATAAGCAGGTAATTAATATGCAGAGATATTACATGGGTGATTTAAATAATAGAACAAAATACATTTACTGGCAATAATATTCTATTGTCATGGTAAAGTTTTTAAAAATCTCTTCTAAAATGAATTAATAATAAAGGCAGACTGAAAGCTTCATAATTAGGCTATTTAATTCAATTTGAGAAGAACAAAATGTAAGAATGTTAGAAATCACCAATATGAGAAATACAAAATAAAACAACAACAACGAAGACACATGACAGATCAACCTGCTTCTATTAGGTGGCTAGGTTTTTTGTGTTGTTGTTCTCTTCACCTTCCCATTACCTTTTTTATCTTTGTCACAACACCATTTAATAAGCTGAATTTAGCCAGTCATCTGTTCTTTGGATCTCAAAGTAGCTCTCTATAGAACAATACATTAACCTTAGGCAGTTGTGATCCTGAAATACTCCGTTTTAGTGGGTACATTTTGTCCTTAATGGCAAACTTGTGAAGATTTTTATAAAATAGTCCCAGTGAGACTTGCAAAGAAACATATTTCATATCCCGTGCACAAAACCCATTTACTAGCTGGGTTAACTTTAATATCCCCATCCAAATGAAAAGCATGTATAAGTCCTTTTAAATGTAACTTTCTGCCTTTGTCTATCTAAAAAGGAAGGCAAGCTAGGGGGAAGAAAATCAATCTTTAAATTCCTCTAACTTGTTCAGTACACAGGTGTGTTTCAATGAACTGCAGCAATTTCAGCTGATTGGGCCACTGACGTCTGTGAAATCACAGAGAGCTCAAAGCTGCAACTTTATTTCCTCAGAATCTGCATGAATGTATTGCTTTTCTGTGTCACTTTAACCTTTGGGAAAATGGTCCAATATTTAGAGAATAAAAGCAAAAAGAAGCCACAAGTTGCATGCCCAAGTGACATTATGCACTTCCTTTGGGAATCTAGAAAATACAAAGCTAACAGGCAAGAAGACTCATGGAAATGTTAGGGTAATTTACATGTCCTAGAATATATAAAGGGGTCGTACTGGAAAGCAATAAGTTAGTAGGGAATACCCCCATCAGCTGACTGATACAATAAAATGGAGTAGCACAGTACAGACTCAAGCTGAACTCAATATGCTCATTATTCTGCCACTTTATGAAAGGATCACAATATATACAATTGTATGTAGATTTCTTTATACAAAGAAATGTAGATGGGGAATCAAGAAACCTGGCATCTATTGCCGGCTCTGCGGCCTCGTGCTTTTATATGAAATATTCTTTGCACTTCCCTTCATCCATTTATAAAATGAATAAGGTAACAAAATATTTCTAAAATGTCTTTTGTTACAATGTAGCATATCATGGATTAAAATACACCTATCAAAATGATCCTTAATATGTTTATCTTTCAAACTGAATCATGGTGCTATAGCAGCATACATCTCCCTGGCTTTGTAATTACATAGTATTGGTTTCTTGTACATACCCAGAACAGTGAGATAGGCCTTGGAAGTTTTGACAGGCATGGTAAATAAAGAACAGGTGTACTGTCCTTCATCAGAGAGAGACACGTCACTGACGCTGATGCTCAATTCATGCCAGGAAGCCCGAACCAGCTCGATCCTATTGTCCCTTAAAGCTGGAAACAGAAAATATTGAAACTGTGAATAACAACATTAGAAAAAGTTAGAAAAGTTACACATTAGAAAAAATGTATTAACTATGCATTTTAACACAATAAACATTTTCTTTGGCCATAAATCTAAATCTTACTTCCTGAAACAATTTAAAGGAAGGTTTAAATATAATGAAATATTTTATCACATTTTTTTTAAGTCAAAGTAGAATTAGGTGCTCCTTAGTGTTCTACGAAAGAACTTTTTAATTAAGTGATTGCATCTAATGCAACACTTTAGACGAGGCAGATGTTGATGGTGATAAAAGCAGCTTTTCCCCACAAAGTCTTTCATGGAATGCTAGTGCCAAGAGAAATTATAAACAAAATGAGTTCACTTCTATGGAGAAATAAGCTACAAAACTTCCCATGGGTTTCACCACTTCTTTAATGTGGTGAAAACCAGGTGAAATTGTGCACTGCAGATTAATAAGTAAGCACAGTAAAGCCCATGTATACCTTATTGGGTAATCCGTCCCTGAATTACCCTGATTATATTACAGAACACTTGTTTTCACAGGAGATCTCTTAGCATCTTGCTGAATTATGCTCCTCTTAACTCATTTTGGGACAAACCATAAAAAAAAAGTTTAAATATTATTATGTGTCTGGATAAGTACAACTATAAACCCTTGTATTAAGCAAGAAGCAACTAAAGAAAGGTAGAAAGAGGAAGAAGTACTGGTTATGGACACCAAGACTCGAGGAATAACACAGTAACAGGATGTCTTAAGCTTCCCGCACAATAGTAGAGGTGATCCGGTCCCCATATCTCCCAACCCCAATCTAGCAATAAAAGGCGGTCCAGGTAGGCTCATAATTATTCCCCATTGAATGGAAGTCCCTCTAGGAATACCAGGATAGCCTGGCGGCACTGCAGATGGAAATATACCTGATAATAAGCATTAGGAGGAAGAGATCTCTTTTCCCACCCAGCTTGAAACTCCTCTTTCCCACCTAGAGAAACCAGGACGCTGAGCAGCATTGGCAGAGGAGATTCAGCTTTAAAAAGAACCCAACAAAGCAAGCTTTCATCTTCTCCATGAGCTAGAGAACCCCTTGCCCTACCTAACAGCCACCAGGTGGCCTGGTCTGGGGAAGCTCCTTCTGTCCCCATAGGTGGCAGCAGTAGGGATCAGTGGGGGCCCTAGCAGAATCAGACAAATCAGACTGACCAAAACTGACTCCACAAAGGCTCTAAAAATTAAATTGTCGTTGGAACCACGGCCTGTAAAAGTAAACCAGGACCTGTGTGCTAAACCTAAACTGGTGACTGCCTCCTAGAATAGAAGATTTAAATAGGATCCAGAGTCTCCAAAGTAATGCACAAAATGTCCAGGATACAATTTAAAACAAACAAACAAAAAACCTTGTTTATCACAAAAACCTGAAATTCACAACTTGAATGAAAAAGAACAACCAACAAATGTAGGCACTGAGATGAATCAGATGTTGGATTTATCTGAAAAGGATTTCAAAACAGCTATCATAAAAACATGTAAGTAGTTACTAATTATCTTGAAACAAATGAAAAAATAGAAAACTTCAGCAAAGAAAAAGAAGTTATAAAAAAAGAACCAAACTGAAATTATAGAAATTAAAAATATAATTACCCAAAATAAAAATTTGCCCGATCAACTTAATAGTACAGTGGAGATGGGAGAGAATAGAATCGATCAATTTAAGAACAGATCAACAGAATTCAACCAATCTGAATAATAGAAAGAAAACAGATGAAAACAAAATTAAATGGAGTTTCTAGGAGCTGTGTGACAACAACAAGAATTAAACATTTTGTACCATCAAAGTTGCAGAAGGAGAGGAGGAAGAAAGTAGGAGTGAAAGTATATTTGAAGTGATAATGGCTGACAACTTTCCAGATCTGGCAAAAGACATAAACTCACACAGCCAAGGAGCTAAGCCAAACCTAAGTACAAAGAACTCAACTAAATCCATGCCAAGATATATCAAAATTAAACTTTTGAAAACTAAAAACAAAGAAAACGGCAGCAGGCAGATAGAATCACGTATCACCTATAAGGAAACACCAATTCTTAGCCAGTAAAACTATGCTTTAGGGATGAATGGAAACTAAATATGTTCTCAAAAGAAGGAAAACTAAGAATTTATCTTAAAACTGTCTTAAAGAGGGATTTAAAAAAATGTCTTTGAACAAAAGAAATGATCAAAGAAGGACCTGGGGAGCATCAAGAAAGAAGAAAGAACAACAGAGAGAACAAAAATATAGGTAAATACAATAGACTTCCCTTTTCTTCATGAGTTTTCCAAATCATACTTGGTGACTGAAAGAAAAATCATAACACCAGCTGATGCAGTGTTCAGTATATAGAGAGGAAATACTCAAGACAATGGTATTTAAAAACGGGGAGTGCAATGGCTCCTAATGGAAATACGGTTTCCACACTTTCCTCAAAGTGATAAAATGTTGATACTAGTAGATAATAGATACTAGTAGAATATATATATATATACACACATATATGAATATATTCTACTATATATTACTACATATATACAGTAATATCCAGAGCAGTCACTAAGTGTACCAAGTGATACACTTAAAAACACTATCAATATAAATCAAGATGGAATCCATTTATATAATGTTTTGAAATGGCAAAATTATAGAGATGGAGAACAGATGAGTGATTCCCAGGGGTTAGGGGAAGCAGAAAGTGGAGGGGAAGAGGAGAGATGCAAATGACAGTGTGAGGAATTCTTGTAATGTGTCTGTTTTGTACCTTGACTGTGGTGATGGATACACAAACTTCCATATGCAATAAAATTGCATAGAACTAAACGTGCACACACACATACACAAACATATGTGCACACACATGCGCACACACACAAATGAGTACCTGTAAAATTGATAAAATCAGAATAAGATTGGTGGATAATATCAATGTGAATTTCCTGATTATGATTTTGTATTATAATTTTGCAAGATGTTACTTGAGGGGAAGGGTACATGAGGTCTCTCTGTATTCTTTCTTACAGTTGCATTTAAATCTATAATAAAGGTTTAATTTTTATTAAGAGTAAGCAATCATAAAATATATAACATTTAGGAAAACTTGAAATGTTCATAATTTTTAAATATCTTCCATAAAATCACCCCTCCATACACTCAAATCACACATTGTTTGTTAACACTAATGTTGTAAGAAGATATGTACTTACAAATATTTTTGAAACTATTTTTACTTGATATGAAAAGTAAGGCAGATCGGATTATGAGTATGTGTGTGATTCCATTAGGATATGTGTGTGCACATTTTTTTGAAATGTGTAGTTTGTCCTTTATCTCCTACATGCCATAATGTTTATGCTTTCTTCAGTTGGCAGAGAAAAACAGTGGGACACAGATTTGTGATTTCCTCCAACAGGACCTCATGCGAGATCAACCACTTTTCAAAGCTATGATTTATAAAAAACACTTATTACATATTTCTTCTTTTTCAAAAAAAAAATGAGGTCACCAAAGGGGAAAACCTCAAGTTCCTGCAATGATACTCTACAGATGAAATATGTTACCCACCACCCACTGTGTTCAATTTCATTTCCTTTCTCACAGGTCCCACCACCAACAGACAGAGCTTTTAAGTTTTCAGTGAATCCTAGAGAAAAAGAATTTAACACTCTTTTGGCCAGACTAGTTTGTGGAAACTATATAACCTGCTGAAGTCAATCTGAATTACTCAAAGCATAGGAAATAAAACTTCCATATTTAAACCATTTGCATGGGGTAATACAAAAAGCACTGACTTTGGAATCAAAAGACCCAGCTCTAGATAATTGTATGAGGTCAGATTTCCTGTGGATAATAATTCCTGATTTAATTCCATTTTTGGATTATGATAAGGACCAAATGAAATCATGTAATATATTAAAGTGCCTTAAAATGAATCTAAAATGATATTATTAAAATGTTCTCGGTTAGTATCCTGAAGGGAACCAAATACCTTAGTGTCTGAAATGCCTCAATCAATTTACCTTACTAAATCGTGTAATACTTTGGGTTGTTTTATGATTATCAACAGCGTTGACTAACTAAAAACTAGATTCTGAAAATCAGAATCCCTGAATTTTAGTGTAAGCTTTGTTACTGATTAAGCGTATAAACCTGGGTAAGTCATTTAAATATTGTGCTCTTCAGTTTATTTGTGTTAGCTGGAGATAATAATGATTGTTAACATCAAAGTGAAAGTATAAGGAGTATGGTTTAGAAATTTAAAACTGAAATATATGATGTATTCACAAACTGTCAGCACAATTCCATGAACCAAGAAACTGCCAAAATTAGTACAGGAATTATTTATTTTGTAAATTTTCTTAATAAATAATTTCCTAAAACAATATAGCCACCTAAGGAAATTGTAGTTGGATTGAATATTTTAAGCAAACCCTACATTTACAACATTAATCTTTGCAAGGGTGAAAATACTTACAATGTCATCTGCAGTTCACTTCAAAACAACATTTCAGGTATGAAAGGATAAGGGAAAATCTTCAATAGTCCAAAGAGAGACATACTATAGCTCAAATGGTTTCCTGTGAGCCTGATTGACTCATCTCAGCACCCTGAGTCATTGGTGCCTGCACAGTAGCTATCGAATGGAAACTGAGAACCAAACTCTCTATATAGAAGAGCAGAGTGAAAAAGAACTGAACTAGGAAGTTTTCTTCAATCTCTCCCCATAGGATTCCATGGGAGTGTAGCCAAAAATAAAAGGAAAGGGAAAAAAAAAAAAGAAAGTGTCCCATTTATACACTGAGGCACACGACACAGTTAGATATCATGCCGCACAAGTTTCTAACTAAGTGATACTTCATTAGAACATGATTTGAAATCCTGAATGAATGACCTTTAAAGATACTGTCATTTTACTCTAGAAAAGGTGGTACCTAATCGGACACTATGCATATTACTTCTCTCTTCT